CCCACAGCACGTTCCCGCCCTGTATTGGAAACATCTCCCAATGATGACATTATTATTTTTAGTATATCATCAGAAAATATTCTCAGTACATGATGAAGATGTATTGTGGGACTTTATAGGGACTGATTTGATCTCGCCCCTTCTCTTCAATGACATTCCAACTGGAACTACAAGGCTCCATCCATATCACAGACCCATCAATGAGAAACGTTGTCTAAAAAATTCTCAAACCCAACCCCGAACTTGCGGACTTCATTGAATTCGAATGAACTAGGGAGACATGGCAATTGGCAAGGGATCATATCATGACTAGATTATGGCCCAACACCAAATATATTGATGTCATAGTGACTGGGACCATGTCTTGGTATATTCCTACCCTGGATTACTACAGCAATGGCATCCCCCTTGTGTGCACCATGTACACATCTTCAGAGTGCTACTTTGGCCTAAACCTCAATCCTCTCCCTAAACCAAGCAAAGTTTCCTACACCCTCATTCCAACAATAGCCTACTTTTTGAGTTCTTGCCAGTGCACAGGAACAATGAAAGAGAAGGCAAGGGGTGAACCATCCTCTCTTACCAGAAAACCGTGTGGTTTTCGGTCTTGGTGCCCTGAGTTTTCTGTGATAAAAAGATATTTTAAAAATATTAGTCATGTAATGTCACATACGAACAGTTGGAAGATTAATGATAAGGAAGATTTATGAGAGGTTTGCCCAGAAACCAACATGCATCATACAAAAACGAGTCAACTAATTGTCATCGTCAAGGGGCATTCCGAGAATCGAACTCGGGACCTCTCGCACCCAAAGCGAGAATCATACCACTAGACTAAATGCCCACTTGTTCACAAAYTTTAGTTCACATTAAATATATCTTTTCTTCAACCTGGCTCCTAATCAAAACACAGATTGTAAATCTTACTTCTACAGTATTTTGATATACGTGCCGGATGACATCAGGCATCTAGCAATTATAGGTTAAGATTAATATAGATACTCAACTCTACACCCGCCCCCCCTAAAAAAAAAAAAAATCAACAGGAATACTATGATTAATCCATCCTAAAAATTGAAGGGTTTCTATTTATTTTAGAGCTAATTTGTTATGTGCAGAGAGCGCATTTAGGGGTAACAGGCCTTATATGATCAAGTTTCGGATTGGCCAGTTGCAGGGCAATTCTTGTATTTCCTTAGATTGAATGAATGTTCTGTAACTTCTGTTTTCTGTTGAGTTAAAAAACAAAAAAAAAAAAAAGTAGTAAAAAAGTAAACCTTGAAATACAAGTGAATCAGAATTTGCATTATTCTCCTTTCTTTTGTTTATTTGCATTGCAAATGAGGTAAAGAACCTGAAGCAATGTAAAATAAAGCCTAAAACAAAAAATGAATCAGAATTTACACTCTTCTCATTTCCACTTCATACACGCATACTAATTCAAACAAATTTACACTGCAAATTGATAGTGTATGTCATAAGCAAGCCCATATCTGCTGGATCTACACGTATACTAAAAATGACTTAAAAATAACTTCTATGAAATTTAACCCATGATAATGCCAAAAAAACCGACTTGAACATACAACGTCCACCAACTTCACTAACAGATGCATATCAAGAGCGTAGCGGATCAGATCGTATTAAATTCAACTATAAATGGATCGATTTGGAGTACTTCAAACATATCAAATTCAAATCACAAACAGACAATTTCAAGAGATGAATTCCCTTGAGAAGTCACACAGTTCAAATGCCGATGGGAAAATTACCATATCTGGCACTGGGTATATTAGCATGGTGATACATGATTTCAAAAGTTTTTAATTGAAACGTACTACTAATAGAAACAAAGAGTAGCCAAGGGATGGGTATATTACAGAAGATGCCAACTGAATAGAGCAAGTAGACCAAACATCGTCCATCCCATCTGAGTTTAAAAGATTAATCCCATTGCTGATCAATTACATTACATAAGATGCCAAGCTGCATCGTTGGCCTGAAGGATCAAAACAGGAAAAGAAAAACAAATATCAAAAAGGAAAAAAGAGGCACTGTCTCTTCTTCCCCTTGAAACTCTAGACCAGAACTTGTTCCTGGCTGAGCCCGCCCATGCTTCTGAAGACAGCTCCGACTTGATATGCACGCCCCAAATGGAAACCTGCGGAGCTCCGGCATGCATTAATAAAGGAGCTGAGTTAACTTGGGTATATCAGCTATCATGTCCCAAATCCCAAAAATAGAAAATATTGTCATCGTTTAAAATGTTCTCCAAAAATCTTATGGGAACTCAGGGAACAGAGGCATTGCAGTAGTACAAATGTCTGTGCTGGACGGCTGGATGCAGTCCAAAAACCCAATCTGAAGAAAAATTAAGAAGGCAAGGCTGCAGGGTCGAGTTCCCAACAGCCTCTTAATCTGCCTTCTCTCTCTGTCAGCTGGTAGGCTGGAATTTGATGAGAAAATCTTAGTAACTCAACCCGCGGAATCTCCATTGTTACAGCTGATGCTCCTTTTCTTTCAGCCCTGAAAACAGACTTGTAACCATCCACCTGTTCCAAGACAAGTACTTTCGTTGTCAAACCATTGTCCTCAAGGATTTCTACTATGTCATAGTTGCAATTAGGCAGATCAGAGCATGTCCATTCAGTATTCCAGTCCTTAAACAATGCCCAAACTTCACCTTTCCTTGGGTAGATGTCATATCCGTTCTTACCAGAGGTATCAACTCGCAACTGATGAGAAAAGGAACAGGTGTCATCATAAGCAGTAGATTTCCCATTTTGAACCTTAAAGGTACCACAGCAAATAGGCATCTCCTTGTCAAGCCACTGAATCATGTCTTTAGGTAGTGGGCAGGCGTCAAGCCATGTTATGTACACTTTAAAATCTGGAGGAGACTTGATTTTTCTTATTCGAGCATAGTACTTAGGCAAGCCATCCACATCGCTATATAATGCCCATACCTGACCGGGCTGGAACTTCTCATGGGACTTTTCAGCTTGGAAGTCATAAAATTCCGAATCTGAAATTTCAGAAGGTTCTACGGATGAAGTTGAAGAGGAACACGGGTCTTCAGCAACATAATCAGAATTCTTGTCCCTGGGACCTGAAATCCTCTCTTTCTCATCAGCAACATAATCAGAATTCTTGRCAATCTCTTCTTTGCTTGCACATTGACCTGCATTTGTTTGATTAGGTTTCTTACGGATGTCATTCAATCCACCTTGAGACCGATGGCTGCTAATTGAATTCTCTCTTTCTAGTGCAATATTCTTGTCCGGGTCTATACACTTCTCCCTCATGTCAGACCTATTTGTCATGGGCCTCGTGTTCTCTGGAGATATAGGACGTGAACCATTGGATTTCACGTCTGCATTTTCAATTTCTGTTTTGGCATCTTCTGCACAAGCATACTCTTGCAGACCAATTGGCAGAGAAGCAGGATCAAGCTCAAATGACCCTTCTGGAACATCTTCCYTTTCCTTACCAGTCATTTTAAATGAAGGTACCATATGGGAAAACCTAAATAATTCATTGGGTGGTATTTGGAACGAATTAACACCTTCCTTTGTTGTACGTTGGAACAAGCATACAAACCCTTTCACCTTAGCAATAAATGCAACTGTAATACCAGTCCCCTTGTTATATTCTGACAGGACTTCAACAAATTCATACTCATATTCTCTATGATTATCTGGCTCAGATTTCCAATTGATATTCCAGTTCTTAAAAAGTGCCCAAGTTTCTCCCTTTTTAGGGTATATCTTGTAAGAACCTTTAATTCTACCTTTTTCCCAAGTAGCCAAATGAGAGAACATAAGCTTATCTTCAGTAAACTGACTTTTTCCTAGTTGGAACTTGCCACACGCAGCGGGCAAGTCCTCGTCTGTCCAATCAATCTCATCTTGGTCATCTGGATTAGGCTCTAGCCAAGTGATCCGTAGCTTAAATCCAGGTGAAATTACTTTCACAACCCGAGCATAGAACCTAGGCATGCCATCCAAATTATCATAGATAGCCCAGACTTGATCAACTGCAAAAGAATCCTCTTTTTTATGCTTGTCGAAGTCACTGAACTCTGGATCAGGGCAATTTAAGAATTCAGGCTCTGGATTGGTCTTATGGATTGTCTTTGATTCAAAATCATCATCAACTTTTGATCTTTCTCTGGTATCATGCACAGGTGATGCTTCTTTTCCATTTTCTTTGCACTCCTTGGCATTATCTTTTCCATTCGCTAAGTTTTCACGAAGAGGGGGCTCCTTTTTCTCAACCTCTTTAGGATCACTGGCAAAACCAGCCTGCTTATTGGATTTAGATTCTTCATTGCTCTGCTCATTTGAAGTGCCCCTTGACCTTTTAGGAGGGGACACGAAGTCATCATCATCACTTGTATCTTCATTGTAAGCAACCTTATTCTTCTGTCTAGTAGACCTCCGTGGGTAATGGCCTTCAGTAGCTCCAGCATTCTGGGCGGCAGAAAGACCATTGTCTTCTATAACTTCAGTGTCAGTGCTGCTTTCAGTGTCACAACTTTCACTTGATTCCTCTTTGATCTGCCTTCCTCTTTTCCTGTTTCTGCTTCCTGAATCATCAGTCTTTTGTTCCGCAAACACAGATCTTCTTCCCCCCTCATCCCCAACTCCCATATCTACATCTGCATCTCCCTTTGATGTAGTTTTAGACTTCTCCCCAACCTCAAAAGTGCCTCTTGTCCTTGGAACCGTTTCTGATGTAGGGATGCCACTACCAGGATTTCCTTGAAATCCCATACTGGAAGGGGGACTCCAAGCAGTACTTTGTGGGCCTGTGTTTTGAGCACCCTGACCTAGCCCCACTGTCTGTTGGGGAAATACAGGGCGATAACAATTGCCTGTAGGAACACCTCGAGCTTCTAACTCGGATGCAACAAAGGGTTTTTTGCAACTTTGGCAACGCAGAGCCTTGTTCAAAATGTTTGTGTAATATTGATACTTTACACAACAAGATGGGCACATAGTCCAGAAAGTCTGCTGGCCATTGGAGAAGACTCGGTGGACCTGCTGCTGTTGGTACTGGGAGTTTGCGAACTGTGGGTGAGCACCATTCACCAAATTGCTCTGAGCCCCAGGTTGTTTCCAAACAGGAGTGTTTCTACTTGCCTGAGATTGGGGATGCTTTGGCACAACAACTGTTCTCATGGAGTTTCTACGCTTCATGTCATAGGCAGAACGTGTTGCCTGGTCCAAAAGTACTCTCTGGGCTTCCCCAATCAGCTTAAATGCAGCTTCTGCCCCAGAAAATTTGTTTTTATCAGGATGAAGTAGGAGTGCAAGCTTTCGGTATTGCTTTTTAATTGATGCATCATCAGCTGTTTGCTCAACTTGAAGGATAGCATACCAGTCCACCTCAGATCCAAATATCCTCTGCTCAGCAGAACAGTGTACTTCACACACTGTAAGCATCTGGGATATGTTCTCCAGATCTGGATAAAGTTGTTGGGCTCGGAGGGCAATTTTCCGAGCTCCCATGAAATCCTTGTTTATCATCTTCTTCACTGCAATTTCCTTGGCTCTGATGGCCTCCTCTTTGTTGCAGTCCATGGTTTACAGAGGATATAGAAGTTGCCTGGCTATGCTTCCCTCATGACCTTTTCCACCTCTTTCTCAATTTGTTCAAATCATCATAGGAAGAGAGCAATACATGCTGTATCTGGTCTCACAGCAAAACTATATCAAGATTGCCCTCCAAGTTAGACACACCTCTTTGGGACCTAACAAGGAGAAAGAAAAAGGGATTACCTCTGAATTTAAACAAGAATTTATTTAGCATTTCATCATCAATCATTTATATACTACTTCATCCCCATACAAAAGAGATATGAATTCAACAAATGAAACAGTGTAATAGTGTATCCTAACACTCTACAGAAGTGCGAAAAAAGTACAAATCGAAGTCTGGAACAATCCTTATATGAATAATGAAATAGACAAGACTTAAAACCGAGGATACCTAGAAAAAAAAAAGCTTCAGATTCCAAAATCTGACTCGAATAGTCATTTTGTTAATTCTCAGAATCATTAAAACAGAGGAAAACTTCAAGAGGAAACATTTTAAACGAAAGAAGAAAGAGAAAGAAAAAAGAACTGCCGCTTGAGCCCCATAGTGCGCGCATCACTCGAAATTCAAATTTCAATCGGAAGAGGGAAGGAGTGAAGAACAAACGACCAACTTTACATCCAAAGAGAACACCATGCTATCAACTGCATGTATGATTCAAACATCTCCGTATTGCAATAAAAGACCCCCGTCACGCTTAGTCAGGAAGACCATCTCAATCCAGGAACCAAAAACGAAGTACCCAAACCCTAATTTTACTAGAATAGCCCAAAATCCTATTCCAACCCTAGATTCCCAGTTGTCCAACAACTAAAAACAACAGCCTAACGGAACATGAAGAACCGCGCCAAATAAATCAACAAGGCTTTCATACAAAATCAACCCTAGAATGAGTCATAGCGAGAAACACACACAAACGCACAACCCATACAAAGAAATTTTCCACAAAACCCCATAACGATAATTCAAACAACAGAGAAAACCCTAGAACGAGAACAAATATAAAGGAAACCTAAGACACACAAAGACAGATAGACTATTATCAGCAACGAACAAATAGACAGAAATGCGGAGCAGAGAAGAGAAGCAAGCTTACTACTGTCGTTCTGTTAAAGAAACGAAGCCGCGAAATGATTGACGAGATGCGAGAAAATTTTCAACGAGCTCGGGAGGCTGGGGAGGGAGCAAAAACCCAACGAGACAGGTCGCAGGGAAAGCACCCGCCCAGCGAGAGAACAAATGAAATTACAAGAAAGTAGAAGAAATACGAAGGTCCTCGATCTTCTCAGTAATTCCTAGCGGCCCCTACCCCTCTTTATAACTACAAACTCCTTTGCAATTATATTTAAAAATATTATAATTACTAATTAGTGCTCAGAAGTCAGATCAATCAACGAAACATGCAGTGTGTAGCCTGGCCGGAACGGGATCTGCTCCTCACACATGTAGCGCCGGAACGGGATCTACTGTGTATTGAGAACATCTCCCGAATAACTTGATACCGGATCTGTTACTCACAATAGGGCGCCTCACACGCGCCTTACACACACATCTTACCGTGCATTGAGAATATCTCTGCATATGAAGCGCCCAATTGTGTTGTGAGGAGCAGATCCTGTTCCGAATAAGTTATAAATACTGAGATGTTCCCAATGTATGGTAGGATGTGCGTGTGTGGTCGGTGTGAGGCGCTTTCTGTGAGGAGCAGATCCGATCTCAGCTCGGCCCGGCCTATTGGGTTGGGGAGAATTTTCATATATATAAAATTTCATATAGAATTTTTTTTTTAATTTATTAGGGAAGGAATCCACTATGATGTATTTCAAATATTTGCTACACGTTGAGCCAAAATCACCTTGTATCAAGGATTAAGGTATCGATACAATATTTTCGATATGTGACAATATTGTATTCGTATCTATGGTCATATAGGATACGCCATGACTAGATACATATCCTACAAGTGGTGCGTATCGGTACAATACGCCTCCGTATCGGACCATATCGCATTGTATCGGTGGATATAGTCCGATACACATCGATAGAGAGACGTATCCGTGCCTAGTTTGACAAAACTGTATATTGGCTACTTTTGAATTGTTTTTCATCTTTAATAAAAATTAAAAATTAGTACTATGAAAACTGAAATAAACATTTTAAGATTTAAATTTTTCAAAAAATTTAATAAAAACTAAAAATTATAAAAATAATATATTTCATCTACCTTAGATGATTTATATATTTTATTTTACACATAATTATATGTTAAAAATAAAAACATAGTTATTATTTGAAAAAATAGAGTTATTATATAAAACACTAACTAAATAAAATTTCCCAACAAAATTAATGGAAAACAGAAAATTATAATTATAAAAACTGAAATGAATAATTTAAGATTTAATTTCCCTAAAAAATTAATAAAAAATGAAAATTAAAAATAATTTATTTTATCTACTTAAACGATTTATTTGTTTTATTTTACAATTATATGTAAAATAAAAGCATTATATGTTAAAAATGAAAACATATTTATTAATTAAAAAATAATTGTTATTTAAATAAAAATACTAAATTAATTAATATTCTCAAAAATTCATAAAAATTGAAAATTATAGTTATAAAAATTGAAAGAGTGATAATTATTGTATGATGTTTGAATGTTCTAGAGTCCCGGTATTGTTTATTGTAATATTTATCTTCATATAACCTATTGAAGTATGCATTTCTCATGTGTTTATATCTTATCATAAATAATTTAGTTTCTGATTTAGTATTATTAATCTATTTATGTGATTTGTATGCATTTCTCTAACGTATCCATGCGTTTCCAAAGCATATCCGTATTTGTATTTGTATCTGTATCTGATTTATTCGATACAATACCTGACACTAATACTTTGATCATTGGCCTAGTCTAGTGTACTTACACATTTAATAAAATGTATTTATCATCAAAGACTAATGTTTTACAAACCATCCCGCAACCAAAACTGTTTTGGCCACCAATTTTCAGGTCTGCAGTTTGATTGTTCGGTTTAAATGGGTTGACGATGCAACCGCCCAGTCAGTGAGCCGCTGATCAAGTCAATGGTCTTTAGCCAAAAAATAAATTAAGGGTAAAATAAAACCAGTTGCCTAAACAATTTTTGGACTGAACGGTCCACCCGTTCAAATCAACAATGATTCGAAAACCATGTCAAAGACTTTAACAACATTAAAAATCAACTGTAATATATCGCTTCACTGGTTTAATTTTTTGCCTCAATCCAGTTTGGGTAGCCAAAGAGCCTGACCATCTGCAGGTTTTGAACCCATACCTCATCGGAGGATGTCAAGTGACTAACTAAACTATTGGGTCAGCAGTTCATTTATAATTGGCTCGAATATTTGAATGTGGGTCCATCCTTTAGAGCCACCGGTAGAGCCATGTATTTGTCAATAAAATTGTTTTAACTTTTCCAAAGCATACTACATCTGCTTTGATCTTCATGATATCCTGTTTGCAGTGCAATTTTATTTGAACTGGTGCAAAAGGAATGATAGTTTAAATGTTCTGAAATCTGACTGCAAATTTAGCATTCTGTTTTGCTTCCGAGTTTGTTTGTTTCAGTGTGGACTGAGGACCATTTAACAACATCTGAAGTAGTTGAACTGAATGACTTGTTACTTGCCTTTTTTTAATGAGTACGTTACTCGGAAGGTTTAGACTCTTTAATATCTAAAACTAAAGTCTGGTTGACTTTTACGTCTTCCCATAGCTTATTAGGTGATTCTTTTTTTTTTTTTCCACCAAGGTTTAGTTTGAAAGGAATACAAATGCAAATGTATACGAAAGGAGTACAAATACAAATGTATACAATATAAATATATACAAAACACAACATTTTACACTCTACAAATTTGTAAAGACAGTGAAGTATCATTGTCATCCATTTCAACTATCATCAAACAACCTCCAAGTGAAATAAAAATTGAGGTAAAGTAAGCCCTGATGCAAAAGTGAACTGGAATTTGCATTTTTCTCATCCCCCCCAACCATGCATTTGTATTAGTGCAATTGAAATTGCACTGCACATGAATCGAGACTAAGGGAAGGCTTTGACCAAAAGGAGAGATGAGATGCTGCAACTTAGTATGTTCAATATAAGTATTAGCTTAAACGGTGGTAGTAAAGGGTCCCATTTGGCAGCAGTAGTCCACTAAAACTGTCACCAACATCACTCGTAAATTGTAATGATTTGAAAAGTTTGAAAAGTTTATTTGGTGTTGTATCTGAAATATGATTTGAAAAGTTTTTTTAGATTTAAAATTTTAAGACTCAAGCCCGTCACTTAACGCGTTCAGACGTGTTTTAGACGTGGCCTAAAGTCAAAAATACCCCCACCCCATTCAACTTTTCTCTCTCTCTCTCTCCTATCTTCCTACCACCACTATTGTTCTCCCACCTCCCGCACCCGTCTCCTCTACATCTCTCTTCTTTTGCCTTTTCCAGAGTCAGTCTTGATCCCCAGTTCTAACTCCACAAAGGTATGGTTCACCTTTACTAGATCTCAGTTCGGTTTCTACTTATTTATTTGCTTCGATCTCTGTTTAGTTGTTCTTTCGCATCTGATTTTGATTTCCTCAAACTGCACTCTACTGTTTAGTGTGACCGAGATATGTGTTTTCTTTAACAGATTTGACTGATAGGTTTTTGTGTTTTTTATTATATTTCTTCAATTTTTAGAAAGAATTTTGATTTGTCGGTGTGAATGCATTGGTTTCATTGATGTTTTATTTCTTCTCTTGCTGATTTCATACGTTTTTGTAAAATTATAAATTATAAATTATTTTAATATTTTTTATTAAAAAATAATTATTTTTATTAATTTTACTTGTGTTATTTATTAATTATTTTTATTAACTAGTAATTTTTAATTACTTCATTAGTTTTTAAAAATTACTTTAATATTTATTTATATAAATTATTAATTATTTTAATATTTTATAGTCATTAATTTTTTTTTTAGTTTTAATCATTTTATTTATTAATTAATAATTTTTAATTAATAATTTATTATATTTTATTTGCATTATTTCAATATTATTTTGAAGTTGAAAATTATTTTTGTGAGATAATGCGAATTGAACTCAACATTTCCAAATAGTATGTTTTAGGGGTAAAATAGTAAAATCAATGAATTTCAGATGGTAAAGGGTTGATCCAACACAAACAAACTTATGGATTTAGAGCCTCTAAAAAGTAGAAAAGCACATATGCTTCTTTTTAGATTTTAGAYAAATAATATCTTTTTAACTTTTCATGTTTCAGATTTTAGATTTATCAAATGCCACATTTAGTGTTGAATGCCGCTAATACATTTAGGTTGAATGCCCTACCTTTCCTTTTGAATCAAACACAACTTTAGTGGTGATAGTTTATAGGGTAATTCTCATGAGTTTTTTTTTTAATTGAATTGGTACCATCGGTTTTTGTAATTGTTCAAACTGAACCGAATCGATATTGCCGATTAACCAGTTGATTGGTTTCAGTTCTTTGGTTTGTGGTTCTTTATAATATATATGTATATATATATATATATATATATATATATATATATATATATATATATATATATATATATACTATTGTATTGTAAATAATATATGACCGAAAACCAAATCGGTCCTTCAATTTGTCAAAAATATCAAACTGATCAATTTGATTAATTGTATTTTTTGGTTTGATTTTCTAGATTCGGTTCAATTTATCAGTATTCAGTTTTTTATGAGCACCCTAGTAGTTTTTTTTTTTTTTTTAATAATTAAGCACCCAAGTAGTTTTTCTAAAGTGAGAATAGGCTGGAGTATTATGTTGAATATGTATATATGAATATTATGGAAAGATCTAGACATAAATAGCATTATAAAACTATAAATAGACAAGAAATACACGAAGAAATACATTACAATCTATATAATAGAACATGTACGTATTATACAAATTTATTAATCAGTCCAATACGCATACTATGTATCTCCTTACCAATTTCTACATGTATAAAGCAATTAATATGTTATTGTTTAATTAAGTTAAATTATTAATTAATAATTACAAAATAACATAAATAGTCTAAAAGTATACTAGATTTATGAGAACATAGAAGATCCAATAAACAAATCATAAGTAACTATTTTATTTTATTTACTAAGCCATAAGTCAATTATTATATTTTATTGGCTTTACTTTTTTATATTGACAATAAAATAAGTCAACTTAATCTTAAATTCATGCTATCTGATGACTATTAAACTATTTAAACATCACTAATGTAAACAAAGTTAACTTTGTAAATAATATTTTTATATCTATACATAATAAATTCGTTGTTATTTATTGCAAATTAATTTATAAAAATATAAATCTTAGCTTAAAAATAATATGGAATCCATTAAAATTTCTAAGATACATGTCATATGCAAATTCATAAATTTTAATTACTGAAATAAATATTCTGTTTTAATTATTTTTATTTATGTAAATTATAAAAAATTGAAAACCATTTTTACATAAATGCAGATTAATTGATTTGATAGATGATTCATTTCATTAATATTTATAAAATACTTAWTTTAATTTTTTTTTATTCTAGTTGAACATTCATATATAACATGATTTATTTAAATTACATGCAGTCCCCAAGTTAAATAAAGGCTACATTATTTCAGGGGCTCATTTGGTTTGCAGGAATAAGGGTCCAGAATCAGAATTGGAATGGGCCACTCAGATTCCAACTGTTTGATTGGGTGGAATCAAATTCCCATTCCCATTTCTATGGAATGGCATTCTCCCATTTAAAGGAATAGTCATTCCCTCCCCATCCCTTGGGAATAAAATCCCATTCCAATTCATTCTCATTCTCATTCCAATTCTAGTATAAACCAAACAGACTATGGGAAAGGACCATTCCAATTCCAAATCCAAAAGATTTTTTATTCTGAATCTAATTATAATTCCAACTACAAATGGCCAGAGATCCCACCAACTGAGACACCATCAATCGATTAATAATAATAACATTGGTTTGGTGGTGACTGGTGAGTAATCATACTTGTAATTTGAAGAACCTGGCTACAATATTTGCTAATAACATGAGTTGAAGTTTTTTTTTATTTATTTTTAATCTGTATTTAATAAGAAGAGAAAATGGCTAGGCTAGTAATACACCAAACCATTTCACCTGTGCCACATGTCAGTCCCTTTAAAAACTGATCCCTGAATCGGACATATCTATATAGTCTTGTGAACGTGAGTTTGAGTTAAGGCAACCCAAATTGAAATTGCTACCAACGCCCAAAGATCACCTAATCCCACAAAACCACCTTTAGGATAATACACAAGATGCTGATCAGTCAACACAGGGCACAGCCATTCATCCCTTGATGAAATTGATTTAAATGCAACAGCCAAAGTGCACTGATACCAAAAACCCTCATGGTAGTTGGTATTGTAACTAAGTACATCACCTTTTGGTCATAATTTCATTGAACTTCACAGCCCCAAAATTTCCTTCTTGGACTGTCAATAAAGCCATTTTTATATTGTCATTGACCTAAAAATAGTAGCTATCAAAGAAAATAGATTACAGAAAATTGGAGGTCACAAGCAAACTAGTTCACCAAGCAAACATCTTCATCTTAGTCTAGGCTACACAAAGGGTTTCATGCCAAGGGCCATGGGAAAGGCTCTGGATCTGGATGACTTGTTGAATAAATGATACTTGATCTTGTAAAGCTTTAGAATACGCCAGCATTCACTATGCAAGTCAGAATACGATCATTTGTAATAGGCTAAAAGAACCATCAGCAAGTCCTCTGTCCCCATAAACACTGACAATTAAAGGGTAGTTTCTTGTGACAATCACATCACAAGGATACTAAATGAAAAAGTTTAGCTCATTAATTAATTAATAGTACATTGGTGTAAATAAAAAACCCGGCACTATGCTTCTCCAAGGTTATACTGCATACTCTGCCAAAAAGATACCATCAGCAAGAATAAATAGAGCCCTAAACCAGGAACTTGTCACAAGAGCAACCAACCAGTTCACCGGCCTCCAATTATCCTCTGGTCAGCCTGCAAAATATGCCTCAGTTAAATTTAAGCACTTAACATAGCAATGGAGTGGCAATTTCATTCTATTTTAGGACMATCCTTTGGACCTCTCTTATTGTTTTAAGGGAAAATTCCACTTTAGTACCCGAACTTTTCAAACGTGTCACTGCAGTACCTAAGGCCCTGTTTGGCAATGTTCTCACCTGTTCCTATTTTCGAGGAATTCTTACTCTTCAGGAACAATAGAGGCATTTGGCAATTTGTTCATTGAAAATGGATTTTTGTTCTATAGAAATAGAAATAATGTTTGGATAACTAAACTATTTCTTGCCTGTGTTTTGAACTGTAAATTTTCCATCATTCCACTATTTAAGGTAAACAGTAGAAGTGAACAACATAATTACAAATATAAAATAAATAAAATGGAAATAACTCGGCCACTCCTAACAAATGTTATTAGTTTTGATGAATGAATGGTGTTGCTTTTTTGGAATTTGGAAATAGTAGAACATTTGTGTAAGAAAATAGTAGAATTAACTATAGAAATAAGTTGTAAAAACTAGAATGTTTGGTGCATATTCAGGAAGTTGGAAAGTCAACAATGGTGTTTCTGGTCTTGTTTAGGTGTTTAGGGGTCGTGCTGTGTTAGTCTTTAGTTGCATGTGCTTAGTCCTTAGCCTTTAGTCTTTGTCAAGTGTTTCTTGTTATGCTCTGTTTCCTGTGGGTCTGTTTTGCTCTATGCGTTTTTCTTTTATATTCTACTATTTCCATTCTCAACTATCAATAGATAATTAATGGTAGATTTCTAACAAACTCACATAAAACCAAACTGACTCTCCCAACTACCAAGCAACAGAAGTATAAATCAATATTGCAAACAAATTTCCTTGTAATTACCGTCTATAGAATTTTTGTTAAATTTTCTAAAAAGAAAAACTATTGCATACCTCATTTAAAGGACTTTTGGTTGAGTTCGCAAAACAAATTAAACAAACAAGGCCATCAGAAAACTTTTCAGCTGAGCTTCCTTTACCTCCAAAACCACAGATTAATCAGCCATGGAAAGGCAATAAATGACAATTTTCCTAAACATGGGTACACTTCAAAGGTCTACCTTGGTCCCATCCTTCAATGTTATAGTAATATCTCTCCCTATTCACCAATAAAATGTGGCACCACTTGAACTTCCTTAATCACTTAGTAATAGAAATTTCTCCTGTCTTGCCCCATTAGTAATGGGTTTGCTTTTACTACTTGTACATGTTGGTTTAGAGAGGAAGTTGGTGGAGGATAGTTTGGTGGACAGATTAGAGGAGATTAGCAGGGTTTGGGGGGTTGAACTTGCACAAGGGTTGGAAACAACTGGGGTGGAAGTCATTGTTGGATATCCATTATCTCACCTTGCTTGTAATGTGTTAGATTCTCTGATTTTGGGAGAATAATTACGTTTTAGGATTTAAGACCTAGCTCCAACCAAAACAGGTTGGGAGAAATGCAGAGTTATCTACTAGTGTTTTAAGCTAGCTATCGTTAACTCTATCTCTTTTTTTTAATAAAAAAATAAAGCATCCACACATCTACAACAAAGAAACGGCAAGAAGGAACTGTGTAAATGATTTTGGTTGAAAAAAAGTTGTCGGAGATGTGTTTCCGACCATTCACTGTCCTTGACTCAGCGTTCACCTCCCTGGGTTGTGCATTGGTAGAGATGAGGTCGAAGGAATGATGAATGAACATTATGGCTTAGAGTTTATTATTTCGAGCAGAATGACAAAAATGCCCCTGCTCAGAATGAGAATGTGGCACACATATTCGTAACTAATGAGGGGCATGGGAACCACACATTTCCAAAGAACGTGTTGTTTGAGAGCATCGATTGGTCACTCTCAAAGAACGCATGCTTTGGGTGTTGTTCTCACACGGGAATGGCTCGTTTTTTTGTTTTATTTTTGCCAAATGTGTTTTTGTTCTGCAGGAACGCCATAAATAGCATAAACACTCTCGTGAAACGTTGCCAAACAGGGCCTAAACTTTCAAAAAGTGTCAAGTTGGTCCCTGTCGTTAACCAGCCATCAATTATCTGCTGAAAATGTCAAAACTACCCTTCAAAAGAAGACACTGTTCATTGTCTTCTACCTTGAGACTGAACCAGTTATCTTCAAAGAAAAAGAGAGAAAAAACATGACATATGATAGAGGGAAACAATAACTGAAAGCAAAGAAATAACTAGACAATAATGTGTTTCAGATCTAAAGGTAGATGACAATGACTTCATTAGTCTAGAATCTCAAACACCTCAACCGGTTCAGTCTCAAGGTAGAAGACAATGAACAGTGTCTTCTTTTGAAGGGTAGTTTTGACATTTTCAACAGATAACTGACAGTTGGTTAATGGCAAGGACCAACTTGACACTTTTTGGAAGTTTAGGTACTGCAGTGACACGTTTAAAAGTTCGGGTACTAACTTGACACTACCTCCAAAGTTCAAGGTACTAAAGTGGAATTTTCCCTTGTTTTAATGATACATCTTTTATATGTGGATAGGATATATAATCAGGTAGCACCAAGGGTCTTATTCTCAGGGGTCACCTTTCACTTTAGAAGGTGACAATTGTTCTTCTGGTTTTATCTAATGAAAGTTACCGTTTCCTATAAAAAAAAAGGGTCTTATTCTCTGATATGTGTATGCATGTGTAAACATGTGTACGTTTATGCTTCAAGGAATGACTATCTCAAGGTGGCTTGGAAGGGGTAATATAGAAACCTCTTCGATGTATTCTTGGTATTTTTTGCTTTAAAAATATATATATTTATTTGGTGAGAAAGAAAATATCAATGGTGAATCACCATAAGCCTTCACTATTAATATATAAAATTTTGCCCATTACCATTGGTTTATCCAATAAAGAAAAAAGGGCAGCCCAGTGCACGAGGCTCCCGCCAATGTGGGATCTGGGGAGGGACAGATGTACGCAGCCTTACCCCTACACATACAGAGAGGCTGTTTCCAAGATTTGAACCCTGGTCATCCAGGTCGCAATGGAGCAACCCAACTGTTGCGCCAAGGCCCACCCTTATCATACTGAGGGATCAGACCTCTTGGCCATTTAAGACATAAGGATCCAATGCTGGAAGGAGAAAATCTCTTGCATTAACTTATCTCATCAAAAAGAAAAAGGAGAAGGATTAATAGCTGACTCCCAAATGATCAGGTGATCTCGTGATCAAGAGGTTAAATTCTATACTGAACTCTGATATAAACAGCATTACATTAAGTAGAAAACCATTGTTATGCTATTCTAAATTCTAATGTGAGAACTGGGTGGAAGTTTTCTGCATTTAGTAACCAAATAGTATATAGGCCAGCAAGATGTTTATTGACATATTAAAAAGCCCAAAAGGTTGAAAGCACTACTTTGTTTTTATGGTCACATTTTCAAAGCTTTTACCTATTTAGTAAAATTTGCAACTAAAATAAATTTATTGATATTGTATCCTTTTTATGTCTAATTATGATATATAGAACTTACCAATTTTCCCAACCAAGAGAGCAATACTAAGGAAAAATATAAGACAGCTAGGAATTCTTTCTTGTCTCTCTATCATGCTCTCCCCAGGGATTTAGAGCCTCTCTGATAGCTTGAGCTTCTGGAGAGTTTTCCCAAGCTCTCTTCTCCGACTCCAAGACAGTCACCTTGTCATCTGCAGAGAAAAGGAAAATGTCAGTCTAGTTTTCCCACTCTCAAAGCTAAGCTTCGGCCAGGAGTTAATAAGTCCTAAGGACCAGTGTCAAATAAACATTTTCATCCACCACTTTAATGTATTTCACATTTTTATACAAAAGAGAGTTACTCCTGAAAGAGTCTCAAGATAATTCTTATTAAGTGATCTACTTAATGTCCATTTAAGATGCATGAGGTTAATTGAAAGGAGAACAATATTTTTAACATCAAAATCATGGGGAGGTCACTGTAATTTCAGAAACTTCAAGAATCCTTTTTACATTTTGGAGTGAAGGTAACTAGGATATTTCCCCAATAAGCAAAAGGGAGGTTCGTAACATTGTTCACAAGTTAACCAATAAGAAGTAGGAGCATGTAATGTAGTTGAGGCAACTGAGTTTACCATACTGTCAAAGGAGAGTCATAAATTGGTTTTACTTTGACATAGTGCCTTGACTTCTCTAAACATCATGAGAAATAAAACTGTAAATGCTTTTAAAGAACACTAATGCACATATGAAAACAAAGAAGATTATAATTAAAATCTAAGAAGAAAAGTCTAATACTGGTCTTGGGAAATAACTAGTTCCAAAGTAAGTCAGACAATCTGAAAATGGGTTTGAAGCCTGACTAGGATAGCCCAGTGCACGAGGCTCCCGTCAATGCAGGGTCTGGAGAGGGACACATGTATGCAGCCCAAGAGGGATCAGTCTGTGATTGAATTTATTAACCATCATATTGGCTTATACATTCGCCCGAGAGGAATCAGTCTGACTTCAAAAGAGGAATGAAAACCAAACAAACATGTAAGAGCAATTAGAGCATTATCTTAAAATCCAAATATGAAAAGATTGAGAAAAAAAAAGCATAATAAGAGCTCATAAATCTAGTTTATGTGACGTTTGTTGGCCCTAACTCCTAATGGCAGAACTGGGTCAAAATATGTGGCGCCACTATTTTCTTGGTACCAGTATGAATTTTCTCAAATGGGTTAACATTTTTCAGGAATGATGAACTCATCAACATAAATACCTWTAGATATTTATCAACACCTCATTGTGGCTGGATGAAGAGATAGCTGAGGTAATACACTGAAAATCATTGTTGCCTGGACATGGATATGGGGCCCAAGAGTCTGACTTGGCAAGATGAGAAAATATGGACTCACAGACACATCTATGTAAAAGAATATACTATTGAATTAGTTCATATTTTTTGCATTCTAACATTGTCGGCAAAAAACGCAGCAGAATGGCATTCATCCTGTACGTTAGCAGTTTATTTATGCCAAATAAACTGGGGGATAAAAAGGAAATATCACATGGAAGATTCCTCAAGAATCAGTGGAGTGTCAGACTCTGATGTGTGTCCAATACGACACATTGTCTAATTAGGAGAGTACATGCAACACTGCTCAAAAGCTTTGTTCTAGGCATGGAAATTTATTAAGATTAGTAAATTTTCCACGACCATGAGGAGGTGAGTGAAGTTAGGTTATCCTTGTCAGACAACAGGGATGAAATATCTTGTTAAGATGCTCTCAGTAATCTGAATCAAGGTGACTACCTCTCTCAAGATGGCTATGCACTTAAAAGGTGGTTCCACCTAGCCCTGAAATAGCAAGATATGGAGAATTGACTTGATCCAAGTATCCAACGGTCATTAAGTATCAATATCATTAGAGACTTGCAAGCAAAAAGTGGCAAAAGCAGAAAATAAGATCAATTCATTGTCCATGAATTTGGATAAAATCAGTTGGCCAACCAGTTACAATGGAACATGGATATTTTGTGGTACATTAAAAATTAAACAATAAAATCTATATTTGTTGAGTAAGGAAACAAGCTACATTTAATAGTTTTTTTTTATCAATAACACATTTCATTAATTAATTACAGGAATAATTACAAAGAGGAAGACAAGCTACATTTAATAATCTACATGAACTTCATTATATATCTGGAAAGGAATAACAATAAAGGATACAATGGCAGAACCAGAATATGCCAATAAGTCAACAACAGACTGAGAAACCCACTAAAGATCTGAAGCACATAATGTGAGGCATTAGGATTCTAATTGTACAAACTTCATGTTAATAGTATCAGGAAATAATTCATGCTTGAGCAACCATTTTGAATTTGGGATTAAGGAAGATAGTTTTGACTTGGAAGTTCTGACACATCCCATGTCCATAACAATTACATTGCATATTTCAAGTTTCAATTTCTAGTTGTGCAAACTTCACCATAGTATCAGGAAAGAATCCATGCTTTAGCAACCACTCAAAATCTAGGATTAAGAAGAGATATACTGAATTGGCAAATCTGACACATACCACACATGCATAACAGTGCCATGTTAAAAAAACACGCATACCTTAGGTAACACTAAGTATCCAGTATCATGCTACCTAACTAGTGATATATTGCAGCATTTCAAGCTATGTTATGCTTTAGCAACCACTCAAAATCTAGGCTGAATTGGCAAATCTGACACATATCACACATGCATAACAGTGCCATATTAAAAAAACACACATACCTTAGGTAACATTAAGTATCCAGTATCATGCTACCTACTAGTGATGTATTGCAACATTTCAAGCTATGTTACCTGGATACAGCAAGAACACGGCTGGATACAGTATCAGATATGGAATTTATGCTAAAATTCAAGTATCTAGCATGATAAGACACCCTCATACAGGCATTCCGGTATCATAGAGCAGTCTATCGTCTTATCATTCAGTATGAATTATTAACAAGTTACCAAAAGTGCCTAAAACTCAATAACTCAAATATTGGATTTCTTTTCCTTTTGGAAAATGTGTTATTTTTCTTCTCCTTTGCCTTTCTTTGACTATTTTAATCTCCAACTGTTCTTTTAATTCTACCAGGCTCATCATTCACTCAATGATAGTGAAACAGAAACTCTCTCAGGTTTCTACAATACTGTTACAAATGCACATCTACATCTATGAGTTTAAATATAACTAGGCCCCTATAGTGCTTCTGCTTCCACGGTGGGAGTTTTCAGCCTCTGTCATACTCTCTTCCACTTTGACATTACATTCTAGGTATTTGGGTCCATACTTTATAAGTATACTTGATCTTAATATTTGCAGTTTAACCAGCTTTGCGGGGTGCACCTTATTCTAGTTGATGACATCAATATTCAACGTGGGCATTGAATAATACAAGTTAACTTACAAAGAAAAAGGACAATAATCTACGAATCAAATGAGTAGGAACTACTTATAGTACCATTTGTTTCGAAATCTCCGTCGTATGCATATTACTATTGACAATGGATAGAATTAGAATTCGGAGTTTAAAAATTAAAATATAGTCTAGGGTTCATATTTGACCATTTCGATTCTACACAGTCAGTTAAAACAAAGAAAATTTAAATCGGGAAAAAGGAAGGGAATGATAAAATGGAACACTTGAAGTGGTAAAGAAAGGAGGGTTCTCACACAGAAACCAGTTTGGATCATAAAGAACTCCATTGAAGCTCCGATCAAGGCCGAAACAGCTGCAATCTTCAAATACCAATCCAGGAACTTCATCTCCAGCGATGAATCACTTAAAAGTAACAGAAAGGAATTGGTGATACCGGGGAAGGATTTGCAGGGAGTCGAGAATCGAGTAGCTCGTCGTTTCCCTCCACCACGCCGCCGTTCACTTAAGCGTACAGACTACAAAGCGATAGAAGGCACTTCAATTGAATTGAAAATGGATTTTTGCTTCCATAGGTTTGCCGTGTGTGTTTTGGCGAGTAATCTGCTGCTAACGAATATGTGTATTACAGGCTACGCAACCAATCACGAGTAAAGAAGCCTGTAATACGCGCGCAAGTCGCAACAGATCCCGACGCTGTGTTTCGAGCCCTTTTTTGATGCTTGACCCAACTTTTTGACCGTACAACCTATTCAAAGTTTGAGTAAATTCTGAAACCTCCCTAAGTTAATTTCTGAATTATGCTGTTGACATTTCTCCCTCAGTCCCTTGCCTTTTCTGACATCCTTGCACCTACACTCCTCCCGTTAGAATCCGCTAATGAAAAGGATAAAATGACTAAAATACTGCCGTTAGTTTTGTTTTTTGTTTTTTTTTTTCTTTCTTCGATTCCTGCTTGCTTACTTAAAAAACGAACTAAATAGGCTAAATTACAAAGACCCTCTTGTATTATAGGGTCAATGATAAAAATCCCTTATATTTTAATATACAACAAACACCTCCTAACCTTTATCTTACAATAAATATCCCTTTTGACCGTTAAGTATTAAATTTCCCAAAAGTAACTTTAATTGTCATGTAGAAAATCAAAGCTGACTTTGTATGTGTTTGCTTCCGTATACGTTTTTTCATTCAACGTTTGTATTTTATTTGTTTGTAAAATCGAAAAAGGTAATAATTACAATCATTTATGGCGCCACTAGACTCTACATCAATGTAAAAGTGAAAAAACGCCTGACCGTTTGTAGAAGCTTTAAAAAATAATTTCCTCAAATGGTAGGCGTGCACAAAAACTGAAATCCACTTTTACCATTCTTGGTGCGTACAGAAGAGCAAGAGAGAGGAACTACTAAAGTGGCACCTATATGATAACATTTATTGAATAAACACCCTCTTTCTTTAGATTATATTTTGTTTTTTTTCATAATAATTGGTTCTTCTTGTCCAAAGTCCCAGCTGAATGAACGTTGCGGAGAAAGCAAGTGCCTAAGCAGCTAAGCTTAGCAAGCGTTAAAATAAAAGAATGGAGGAAAAGGAGAAGGAAAGAAATACCCTTTGATGAGGGCGGATTTGGCCCTCTAATAACCTCATGACACATGGCATCCCGAAACAGCTGGACGACACCCAAATGCCACCTAAGCGATGATTTGGAGTCCCAGATCGTAGTTCGTCTTTGCCCTAACCTGGCGACTTGCCTTTATCGCTGACTTGGCGACCTCGACCACAACTTAGATCGGCTTGCAGCGCCTCATCCGGGGACGACTTGTAGCACATTGTCACTGACCGAAGTGACCTTGACGCAAGGCGCGACCTCTCTCAAGGGCTTTTTGACCTAACTGAGGACCAAGCGATGACCTGCGAGATGTGCTCGCCGACAAATTCGGCATGCATACCCCGACTCCCAGGTTTCTCTGAAGTTGGCCCGTGTGCCGAATGTTCCGAAGGATGGTCAACGTGCATAGCGGTTACCTCTGAGGATTTCGGACCGGTAAGGCACGACCTCTCGAAAATCTCGGATGCAATGTGTGAAGGCTACACCAAACAATGCCTACATAAAGGCACCAACCCCCAATGACACAGGGTACGCGCGATTATTTGCTCACTAGCTTACTAGCATACAAATTTTTAGCTCGCACAACCCAGTACTGACTTAAGCATCAGAGTGACCTTGTCAAGTTAGCCACCCCGRGTTCTCTGATCTACTATTTTGTAGCTCGTCCCGCAACTGGAGTTCGGATCATCTTCCAGCTAGGAGTGTCTAGATCGCGCACCATCAATTCACACCGTTTGTGGGAAACACTACAAGAAGCTAAGTCCTCATCTTCTAGAAAGCTAAGATCTCGCCTTTTAAAAATTTAAGTTTTCACTCTCTAATTTCCATTTTTGATGAACTAAAAAGCATTTTTGAGAAGCATCAACATCCATAACGAATATCAATTACTGGGGGGCAAGAACATCTATGATGAACCTTGAGAACTCCCCTGTGACAATCAGACAAATTTAGGCTGAACCCAGCATTCTCAGTGCCCTAGATAAATATACTGCTACCGCATGTGAACGCCTCTCTCCCTGTGGTAGAGCTATAAGCAGTTCCCGCTATGATTAAAGTGTGGAAATTCTATGAGATGAAGCATGAATTTCCAGATCTAAGCATGGGAGAAGCCCGATGTAGATAGGAGCAAAATGACCTTAACTCATCCTCAATAGCAATCAGCCAGGATGAGGCCTCATCAGCCCCATTTTGCGAGGTCGCCTCTACAAGTCGAGCTCTTCATGGCTCCCGCAAGAGCCGACGGCCAACGGACTACATGGATGCCCTTGCAGGTTGAGCCTTCCAAGGATCCTGTGCGAGCTGACGACCTAAAGCCAGTAGTGCTGCCCTTGCAGGTTGAGCTCCCAGTGGCTTCTTGTAGGAGTGGATGACCGACATCACTATGAGGCTAATGCAGTGAAGTCGTGGCCCTGAACTGCTGGCTCACGCCGACAACAACTTTATGTATCAACAACCCTCACAAGGGGGGGGGGGGCAGAACATGTACGTTGTGGTCTCGCAAGTACTCACCCAGGAAGATAATCCCATGGGATGATGTAGAAGCAGCCATATGAGAAGTTACTACAGAATGACCACCCACTTAGGTGGAGAAGTCAGGCCGCACGTCGGCTAAGTAATATTGTGGGGAGTGGACTATGAGTCGCTCCCAGAGCCCAAGGGCTACGGTGCTGAACAAATAGTGACCTCGGTGCTAAACACGAATAAGACCCAGTCACCTCTTCGGCATGGGCGAAATAAAAAAGCAGTTCGCGTTCAGCACCATCGGTGTGYAGACAGGTCGGGTACATACCATTCCACTTCAGTCTCATCGGTGTGCAGAAGAAGAAAGAGAAAAAGAAAGAAAAAGAAGCGAATGAAGGAAGACTAATTCAGCACAAGAGAGAGAAACAAAGGAAAGATTAGACCATGACAGACGCAAACTTGGCTGATCTCTTCACAGTAGACCTCCACCTCGGTTTCAGGCTCCGCATCGAACTCGCTAGCTAATCTTTTGAGAACCAACTTGAGGGACACTGCGTCGAAGTCTACCTAGGTGGAGCAACCTGATAAAGTAGTCACACAGAACCCCTTCTTGAGGACAGCATGATGAGCTTTGCTCTTGAGGTACTTAGTCGGATTGCAGAACCCCTTGATGGTCACATCCCTAATAAGGTAGATGAACTCGGGGTACTTGTTCCACCTCTCCTTGAGCGGATGAATTTGCTCTTGTGCCCTGATAATCAAGACTGCGAGGTCCTGCGTAAGGCTGCAAACACTTGGACTCTTCCGACTTGAGGAGCAAATTGGATTGACGCCAACGACTACGAGCTCATCAAACAGTCATTTGGGGCCAAAGGAACAATCTACTCCCTTTGCCGAGCTGCCCTCAGCTCGAGAGTGGGGGGCAATTGATGAGGGCGGATTTGGCCCTCTAAGAACCTCATGACACATGGCATCCCGAAATAGCTGGACGACACCCAGATGCCACCTAAGCGATGATTTGGAGTCCCAGATCGTAGTTCATCTTCGCCTGGACCTGGCGACCTGCCTTTATCACTGACCTAGCGGCCTTGACCACAACTTAGATCGGCTTGTAGCGCCTCATCCAGGGATGACTTGTAGTACCTCGTCACCGATCGAAGTGACCTCGACGCAAGACGCGGCCTCTTTCGAGGGCTTGCCGACCTAATTGAGGACCAAGCGGCGACCTGCGAGATGTGCTCACTGACAATTTCGGCATGCATACCCCGACACTCCCAGGTTTCTCTGAAGTTGGCCCGCGTACCGAATGTTCCGAAGGATGGTCAACGTGCATAGCGGTTACCTCTGAGGATTTCGGACCAATAAGGCACGACCTCTCGGAAATCTCGGATGCGGTGCGTGAAGCCTACGCCAAACAATGCTATATAAAGGCACCCACCCCAGCGACACAGGGTACGTGCTATTATTTGCTCACTAGCTTACTAGCATACAAACTTTTAGCTTACACAACCCAATACTGACTTAAGCATCGAAGCGACATTGTCGGGTTAGCCACCTTGAGTTCTCTGATCTATTATTTTGCAGCTTGGTCCAGCTCGCCGYGCAACTGGAGTTCGGATCATCTTACGGCTAGGAGTATCTACATCGCGCACCATCACCCTTCATCACCTCTTGCCAGATATCCACAGTGTATAATTTTCAAAATCCCCCAACTCAATAAAATTCTTCCCATCTTTGATGAATATTTCTTATGGAGTTTTTAATGGCGGAAACGTATTGCTGCAATCAGAGATAAGAAACAATCAATCTTCTATTTTTTTTCTTTTTGATTTTATGCCTCCACAAGACAAACTCATGTGGAGATCAAATCAGCCCCCCACAATGTTCCACAGCACATCCCTGCCGTGTATTGGGAAAATCTCCCGATGATAATATCAGAAATGATGGTATCATCGACTCTGGATCTCTTGCCCACACAAACTCTGCCCATGTCTACCCAACTACCCTCCGTGAATTGGGAACATCTCCCCCTACATAATACTATGTAAGAGGATGAGATATTCTCCATATGTGACTATAATGTTACGTAGGAAGTCGTGAGCAGAGTTTGTATGAACAAAAAATCTGGACTCGATATCATTATCGGAAGAAGTTCTCAATACACGACAGGAATGTGCTGTGGGACGTAGTGGGGGCAATCTTGTTGGGGCTGATTTGAACTCACTCCTGTAAACCCAATTTCAATTGAGGAAAAATTATTCAAATGCATATGTTAACGGAGCATTGCTCCTATCAAATGGAGCCCACCTACGACCAAGAATAGATTCTTGCCAAAGGAATAGATTGCTTTTAATTGTTGGAGGAAAGTAAGAACTGCAGAACACCCGACCAAGCCATAAGTGGACATTTTCGAAACAAACCAGACTGCGATTGATCAAAACTACA